GTTGATTTGGTTTTGATTGGTTATGTTATATATTTGGCAGTACCAACATGGGCTTGGATGGTATTTCATTTAATACTAATGTTTAGTTGAAATGATGTCAAAATTCTTGATGGTATCTCATAGACAGTATCTTATAGACAGTATCTTAGTTGAAATGCTGTGAAGTTGCCTAACTTGTAGTGGACACATGCTGCCATGCCATATTCAGTATGATTTTGCACTTTTGATGATACTTTTTTGAGTTAATCAAGCTGATAATTAATTCCTGTGGTAGTTTATTATGAAAAGCAAATTATAAAAATTCATCCCTGATGTGTTCATGATGTGTTATGTTCCCTCTCATCCTTGGGATTTACTATCCCTGATGTGTCCATAACTAGCTGAGTGCACTATTAGGTATGGTAGATGGTGATTGGCCTTTTTATGTTTGTGTTTGTTGGTAGGGCCTGTTCGAGGAGCGAGAGATGTGGATTCTTGCGTATGTTAAAGATGTCTTTTGGGCAGGAATGCAGCCAACTCAAAGGGTTGAAAGCATAAACAACTTTTGATGGGTATATTAACAAGCACACTCGCCTATCTGAGTTTGCTCCTAATTATTGTAAGGCGATGGAAAGCCGTGCAAATGATGAGAAGGATGCGGATGCGAACTCAGCTCGTTATGTGAGGCCTTTATTATCAAAATTTTGGCTGGAACTTAAATTTCAAAAACTGTACACGGATGCAAAATTTGTTGAAGTACAAAATCAGTGCAACCGTGTGGCATATGTGACCCCTGTTTGGCCAAAGAAGTTAGTGTCACATATAGAGGAGGAGCATGTCTTCTCAGACCGTGTATGGATATATTGCAAGAAAAAGAGGAGAGAAGTTCCCCTAAAATATCGGTTGAAGGAGTATACAGTTTTGTATAACACAAAGAAAAAAGAGGCTTATTGTGATTGTCGCCACTTCGAATGTCATGGGATTGTTTGTAGACACATAATAAAGGTTTTAGACATGAATGGTGTTAGTGAGGTCCCTCCCATATACATTCTTGATAGGTGGAGAAAGGATATTAGTAAGAAACATACCCTTACCAAAGTTGGTTATCATGATTCGTCCAAAACGGAAGAGGTGATGAGATATGATAAGTTGATGTTAGCTCTTGAGCTTGTTGGTATGCGTGCTTCATCATCGGAAGAAGTTGTTGAAGTCCCAATGGATATGATTCAATTAATGAGCATTAAGGTTGATGAACTATGTGTGTTGGCTCAAGGTTCAAGCTTAGGCTTTGGTGGTGATGAAAGGCCTAGTTGTGATCTTGAAGTGGTGAAACAGGCTCTGCCTCCAACTCCAAAAACCCCTAGCTCAGTTAACAAATGTAGCATTGCACAACCAGAAGAAACACCGAATTCAACATGTGTGAAAGATCCTGAACCTCGGGGTAATAATAAGAAGGGCAGACCTAGAGGATCTCAGTTTGTATCCCCGCAAAAAAAGGGGGTTCGAATAAACAGGCCAAGGTTGCCAAGATAGGCGGTAAGAAGAAACAGGGTACGGGGCATGACACTGATATAGATAATGACATTGGGACTGTACATCCCTTCAGCTTCGAAAACCAGGTAAGTGTAGTATGTGATTTGTAGTCATGGTATATTTTTCATGTGTTTCTTATAAACGGTAACTGAATATTTGCAGGTTCCTTTTCCTAATATGTTGGCTACTCAACAAATGCCCCCATTTTTTCAACAGCATGGGCACCATCAGGTACTTGTAGTATAAATAGGTGACTATCATATGTAGCTGCGTTTTTAATGTTGAAGGCTAGTGTTTTAGGTACTAAGCTACATGTATATGTTGGCATTTGTAGGTCCACCACTAGGGCCAATATGATGTACCAAGCAATGGGAGTGGCCCTTCAGCCTTTAACGGAAGGATATTAGTTGGTGGAATTCACATGAATGAGCACAGTGACGCAGTTAGGTATTTCACCAGCAACGCGTACCAAGGTCAAATGCATTTCGCTCAAGCCGACCATGTATTTAACAATGGGCTCTTCAATGAATTTAGCTTGTAATTTAAGGCTTAGGTAAAGGGTAGGAAATATTTGGGAAAATGTGAGAGCAAAGCCATGATTAAGGGAGCCAAAACCTAACCAACAAAACCAAGGTCAAAAATAAATAATGACCATAAATCTCCAACATAACTTAACTCAACTCTACAAAAATTCACCAAACAACCAATCTAATATTTCACAAATTTTCCAACACTTACAATTTCACTCTTAAAAGTATGACATTATATAACTTGAGTGAACAAACTTTGAACTCCTTTTTCTTTCTTTTGAACTTGAATTTTTTTTTTTCTTGAGCAACCTTCAATCAGAACACTTGAACATTCAAACATTCTTTGTTTTTTCTTTTGCTCTTTTTTTTTTCTTTTTTATCTCACATTGGAATTTTTTTCAACTTTTGAACACATTTTTAGTTTTTTCCAATCCACAAAATAAGAACAAACAAATAACTTCTCAAATCCACCCAAATTGTGCAAATTATGTGCACACAATAACTCCCTCACCTCACTTACTAATAGCTCTCCCAAACCAAGCTTGGGACTAGTAACCAATGGGGCTTAAATAGGCTTGTAATGTGGCTAAATAAACAATGAAAGGGCACAAGCAACAACATGAGTAGCAAGAAGGGAACAAATGTATCTGAAGGCTACCTAAAACAACAAATGCCTTCGTCCTCCTCAATGTGCATAATAATGAATCATACAAACATTCCTCAAAGTTAAAAACCAAAACTCAACTTCATTGACATACTAGGAACTAATCACACATTCCTCACCAAATCAACTAGTCAAGCACTACAAGTAGTTGGGAAAAACTAACGCATGTTAAGATTTGAAGGCAATCAAATATCAAATCATGATCAACTAATCCACAAAATTAATCATCAATTACCAAGAATCAAAACAATTTTGAAAAATTTTCATCAAGGGGCGCAGGGAAGCATGATTCATAATTCATTGGAACGTATTTTTAGATTTTTTTAAAAAAAATTTAAAGCATTAAATCTATCCTAAAAAAGAACTAAAAAAAATAGCCTAAGCACACCAAAAAAAAAACAGAGAGAAGTGAATACCTCAAAAGAAAGCCTTCCCCCCAAGCCAAACTAGACAATGTTCTCATTGTCTTAAAGGGAAGCTAGTATTCAACGCGAATACTCCTCATCATCATCACCACATCAATGTCACCAAAGCCTCGAGGATTGCAATGCATCTTTGGAACAAAATTGGGCAAGAATGAAACAAGGTGTTAGTGGAAAAAAGATCAAAATTGAGTCAGGTGCACTCTTTTGATCATAATTTTTGATATATAGTTGATAAAGCAGTGATTCTAATTGTGTTGGAAAATAGACTTGAAGAGCTTTCCAACGACAGGTTACACGCAACAATCGGATAAGAAACGCAAAAGTTATGGCCTGTCAACATTGAGCAGTTTTGCTGATCCGTACGCGCGCTCGATCGGGCGAGCTCTTCCCGATCGTACTCGAACGTAGTCCAGCGAATTCTTCTCCTTTTAAATAAGCCTTCTAGATCAAAATCTGTACAAAGAGAAACTCCCACAAGTATAAGATACGCTCTCCTTACCTCTCTAAAAACCAAAAAACGAAAACACACAAAAAGAAGAAAAAACTAAACAACAAAGCAATAAAGTACGGGTTACCTCCCGCAAAGAACTAGTTTATCAAGTACTCGCATGACCGTACTCTTTATCTATCGCAAGAATTTAACGCCTTGAGTAACTTATCAAACGCTCCTACACACATTTCATTAAGCACTATATAGGGCTTAATTGCAAGCACAGTAGTCCTTACATAACAAAGATAACTCAAGGCAAAAAGAGAAATTTAAAGAAAGAGGTGAAAATATAACACTACCTTCTACTTCCTCTGCTAAAAAATTAGAATTAATAGAATTAACATGTAGGTAGTCTTGTTCTTTATCATCACCCAATAATGACTCTATTATTTTACGCTCACGAATAAGTTTATCAACAAAAGAAAAAGAATTTTCAACCATTGGTTCTACAACCAATGACTTTTCAACCAAAGGTTCTACAACTAATGATTCTTCTTCTATTGGAACCAATGATACCTCAACCACTGATTCTATAACCAATAACTCTTCAACCATCGGTTCTTCAACGAATGATTCTTCCTCCGGCGTATTATACAAATTATGATAATATTCATCATGAATCTTCCAATAAATTTCATTTGAAACCAACCGTTTTTTAGAATAATCATATATAAACGGAAAGATTCTAAAATCATCCAGAGCTCGCACAAAATACTCACTATAAGGGCAATCAGGATTTTCATGATAAAGACAACCACAAGAACAACGGTCAGATGCAAGGCGTGAGAATAAATCATCCATCTCTAAGCCATGTATATCTTCAACTCATAAGAGAAAAATAAATAAATAAATAATATAGACTCTAATAATAATTAGAAATAAAAATAAAACTGTTTCCCTGGCAACGACGCTAAATATTGACAGGCTAAAGTCGTATCACCTACTCAAAAGTAATTTTTAAAATCACTAACTAAAATAGATAGGGAAGTAGGGTCGAATCCACAGGAAAACAACGTTCTTCTATTCCTAATTAATTATTATAATCTAAATTATTAGAGAACAAGTAAGATTGGTGGGAATTATACTATGACAACAATTAAATAAGGGAACAATCAATTAAAAAAGGCCTAGGGTCACAGGTTCACCAATATTAATACTCCGGGATAAAACATAACAATCAACGATTAATAATGCAAACATAACATGATTAACAGGCTCTCGCAATTTATTAATCAACATAGATCTAACAGACTCTCAATTTACTAGATCTAAGTTCCTATTGAAAATAGTCTTTAATATCAAATTAACATTAGCTCGATTCATCAATTCAATATTGCTATATTTTTACAATCAAATCACATCTGCTCGATTCATAATCCAATTGCAAAGAATTAAAACAATCCATTCAGAAATTATTATGCAATATCAATAATCAACCAACACAATTTATCCCTTCGTATTAATTATGAATCCCCCAGAACCCTAGAATTAAACTACTTGCACATAATAAAATCTAAACTAATCAAAGCAATTAAATTCAACATGATTAAAATCAATAAGCAATTAAATAAAACAATTAAATAAAGCATATTAGAAATAATAATGAAAGACTAAACATGAAAACGGTAAATTAAACAAAAGTACACATAAGTATTTTTAATACTAAAGCAATAAACGTACAACTAAACTAATGAAAAACTAAACTAAAACTAATACTACCAACCTAACCCCAGCCTACGTAACTCCCTCCTATTTATAAGAAAAGTCCAAATCCCCAACTCCCACTAAAACAAGGAAACTAATCAATCAGAAGCCCAAATACGAAGAGTCTCGCGCCCAGATCAGGCATTGGGCCTCCCGATCTGGCCCGTTACTTCTCGCCCAGCAGCTCCACGAGATTGGATCTTTTAACTTGCAAGTGAGCTAATTCAAACCTGCCCAATCTCTTCTTTTGGACTTGACTTGATTATTACTTAGTCCGTGATACTACTTTGTAAAACTTGGACCTTTTCATCAATCGAGCCCTCAGTCACCGAATTAAAATCAGCTCGACTTTGGGCATTACACATACGGTCATAAAATACTATCCAAACTCTAATATCTTCGTAGTGGTTTAATAAGCTCGAAGTTGTCATAAATCTGCAAATTCCTACAAAATAATACCAACACTACAAAAACACTACAAATCGTATGTTAGTAATAAAAGTAGCTCCGTATAGCTCAAATAAGCACAAATATGACCATGGGACGGGGAATAAAAGTATATATATAATAGACTCATCAAAGTCCTGTTCACATTAGGTGACTCCAACTCGCGCTCCTTGATTGAGTTAGAGCTAGAAGAAGTAACAACACCACTCCTAGGAACAGGGGACCTTTCCTTCGGCGCATTCCTCATAGTAGGCATGTTGTTGCGATCTTTAAGCATCTTCTCCATATTCTCAAACATAGGCTTCAGAATAGGCTTCATCATTTCCACAACCTAAGCATATAAAATAAAACATTGAGTTATTTAATCATGAAACATTAACAATAACAACCACTCACAATACAACCAAACCCCTAATCCATTACCTCATTTGCAATCCTCACTTCCAACAGTTGGAAGTGGTCCCTTCCAACCAAAGGATGTCGTTCCCCGTAGCTACATCAAGAGTCTGCAAATAGCAATCAAGAATTACATGGGTACATCTTCAACATAAGCAGAAACCACATATATTATAAGTAGACCCGGTTATTGGGCGGGTCGGATCAGGGCCGGTGCGGGTCAATTGTGGGTTGGGTCAAAGAAGATCATATTTTATAGGGTCAATAATGGGTCGGGCCCATGTGGGTCGCGGGTCAATAACGGGTCGATAATGGGTGGGCCAACAAAATATCAATTAAAATAAATATTGAATAAAGCCATTATTAAGTATATATGAATACAAATTTATCTATGTAATTATTTTTACATTATCTATTTTGTTTGTCTATTAAATTGGAAAAAAATTTTGGCCCTATATTGACCCTACCCAATAAGGGCCTTATCCGTTAAAGGCCCTGTCTATTAAAAGCCCTTTAACCTTGGCCCTGACCCTATTATCATTGGGCTACCCTACCTAATAACCAGCTCTAATTATAACACACAAATTACACATTTACTTTGAGTTTCCCACAGTCTAATGACAGGAGCAAATCAGCTTGAATAGCAACACCAAGTTTCTTCTAAGTCCACACCTCCAATCTTGGCATATGCCCCCAACTCAAAGGAGGCAATGCAATGTGGTCCAAGTAAAAAATCTGCATGACCAAACACAATCAACATAAGCTTAAAAACAACACAGATAGCCCCCTAGTTTAAAATGATAACCTTCAACCTAAACAGATTAAGGCATAAGCATATAAAGCCTTGACAAAATAAAACACAAGCATACATAGAGGAATTTTATAAAAGCACTTTCACAAGTCCCCTTCCCCCTCTCAAAATTTCAATGTCAGTCATCCTTTATAGAAAATATAATTCAAATAAGTGTAACTACTTTAATTTAACTTGTAGCTTTAATGGTTAAGAGCACAATAAGAGTACTCATGATAGATTATATGTAATTTTGTAAGCTTAGATCCTGTTGATAAGCGACTCAGTTATTGCAATACAGTTTGTAAGAGCTCCAGCCTGACTTTAGACATTTTGGAACGGATTAAGAAACCTCAATTTGATCTGGCATCATCTCACACACAAAAAATCCAACTATGACAACCAATACTTACTCACAAGAATCCAACTTTGAATCACATACATAAACTACACCACTGATTTCCTATCCATTTAGCCAAATACCCCATAAAAATGCATAAAAATGGCTCAAATCTCATCGCCTATAGCTTGCAATAAGGCACAAGTACTGAACAAATTTAGATATGTGAATTCACTATAACTATATCTTATCTACAACAAAAAAAAAATAAAAAAAAATAAACAGTTTCATACCAATCTAGTTAGAGCTTCATCATTCCTTATAGATGAACAAATTTCATATTTATCAACAGCCTAATTGAAGCCACTCTCTCCATAATATTTACAAAGAAGGAAGAAATGAAAACAGAAATAAAATATTGTTTAAAAGCAATATATAAAGACGGGAATGATTAACTTTCAATAAGGTTGAGTAACACATCACCTGAAGGAATAGAACGCATCCACCACCACCAGCTGCATACCCTTTGCTCTCAAGCTTCTTCCTAAAATCTCGCACACAGGTCATCAACCAACCGTGTGCACATGAACACCAATCGAAATCCCTTGCAGCAGCCCCAAGCGAAACAGCGGGCAATAAGGCAGTTGCCATGCTCTGACCATTCATAGTAGGACATAACAGTAGTCCCAACATCACTATCAGAAATGCCTTCATAACTGGTCCCTCTCATTGTCTGTTATGATTGGCATCAAAGGCAACTCATAAACTGCCTGTTGAATCACAATATGATAGACGTCGTCTTTTGACATCTGACCACAATCCTAAACAATACGATCAACTTTTTCTTGCATAGCAGCATTCTGAACTCTAACAGGAACGGGGTTTGGACCCCGAAGAAGACCAAATATGCACCTCCATTGTTCAGGGCATAAAGGTAACTCCCTTCCATCTCCTCCAGTTAACATCTTCTTCTCAGGATCAACCCTTGCCATAAGCCAGTAACAAAACCTGCAATCCAACTTCATTACTTGCAACGTCAACAACCCTCCAAAACCACTTTCCTCCAACAATTTTATTTTATCGTCATCTACCCTCAACGCCTTAACAATATCAACAAATGCATCAACACGACAGTTGAAATTCGCTGGCTGATGACAAAATAAGATGCAAAAAAACCTTTAATCACCCAATTTACCTTCCAGCTGCAATTCCTCAACTGTGTCGCAACTATCACACCATTTTTTTTTACCTTCTTCCCTAACGTTAGGCCGGGTTGTTCTAAAACGACCTATAGTCAAATAAATATTTATTATCAACAACCTTTCTAAATCAACAAACTCAACAAACAAACTCATTTGAAATTCACTGTTTATGTACCTCTTCTTGTTCAACGTTACTACTGGTCGCTTTACCTTTCTCACAATCCTCTGCTGTTTCTAAGGAGGTCTGCTTGGGGGTTTTGGCGGTGGCGGAACAACTTTACGCTTCTTATACATATTAGTGTGAGTAACAATGTACTCTGACTCAACCTCATTGTAATACCCTGGAAATTTCCTTCTTTTAAAAACACTCCTTCTACTCTAAATAAAACCTTTTTAGGAAATAACCAAAATATTACCGCTAACGTGATAACGGCTAAGGCTAGTTTCCAAAGTCTCACAACGGAAGTCTAAAACAAAAACCAACTTTTAAAAATAAAACTTAAAGCAAGTTCACAACCTCAAAACAAATGTAGAATAAAACATCCACAAGTTGGAACCAATTCAAAACATATGACCCTTCTTAAAAACCAATAAAAAATAAACATAATAATGTTAGTCCATAAACAAACCAATAATTCAAAAACATTAAAACTAAGAAACATAACAAGTAGTTCTCTGCACTCTATCCTATCATGTTCTTCATGCTTCAAGTACCTGTTACTTCCTCTTTATTAAACCCTCTACTCGCAATAGAAAAATGGGTCATAGTAGGGCCAATCCAAAGGAAAGCCAAACACAAACACAAAAGCATGAATCAGCAAAGCTGAGTACATATGCACCACACTAACATGAATATCTTAGCATCAAAATAAAAATAATAATTAAAACATGCTCGCCACACAATCACAAGTCAACTTACCTTTGACTCATAACTAGCAATATTAATTAATAATAATTTTGGATTACGCATCGAACGGGTTTCCTTACTTGAAGGGGAGCTACCTTAATTGGCACCTAGTATGTCACACTTGGTGACGAAATTCCTGCGCAGTAATAATAATAAAAGAAAGTACATCAACCTGTACCCCTTTAGAAGCTATGGCTAAATATAAAACAACATAATTCCCCCCATATGTTCATACTCAAGGTATATACGTTCCAAGAGTTATGGTGCGTATCCTCTTACACTTTACGTGATTTACCAATTTAACGTGTGATGACTCAAACCAATCAATCAAGAACAAATATAACAACAACCAACACATACTTACAATTCATTCTTGAATTAATTAATGAGCACATACTATTTATATTAATTAAGGTTCCTTGCCTAGTTTTGTGCACAAAAATGCACGATTACTACCTTGGTGCACAAAACGCACTACTAAACTTCCTTGACTCAAACTCAACTTAATTGAGTGAGTAAATAAATAAACCAACTTCTTGACTCAACACCAATAATAAATGGGTGAGAAATAAATTCATGAATCATGCTCAATAATTCTAACTTTAGCTCTTTAACTCATATATAAGCCTCGCTTATTAAATACATGCTTTCTTGATACTTGAAAATAAAACATACTTCCATGATTCATACATACTCAACTTGTATCATGCCTCAAATAATATATTCACATGTTTGCATAAAAATTCATGCTCAACCAACATCAATTCCAAGCATATAATCAACCAAACATGCTACTAATTCATCACTTAAATCATACTTTACAAATCCTAGCATGATACTACGCATACACAAATATTCTTGTGCACATAAGTACCTTGAATAATGCCTATACTCGGCCACACTCTCTAGAAATCACCTAGCTCGAAGCTTCCTACAAATTAGAATACATAACTATAATTAATCTACTATTCTCACAAATTTCCAGCAACTATAATACTCTTTAAACCTTACTAATTAACCCAATTTAATGACATAAAAGCCATAAAAACCTTTTCTTTAAGTGGGTACTTCAAATCCTTTCAAAAAGACTTAATTTTTATGACTTAAATAAAATTCCAGCATACTTATTTAATATAAAACATCACTAATAGACTAGAAAATCATACTTAAATCATTAAAACCTTTTTCCCTTTATGGGTAATCAAACCCTGACTTAATAATTAAAAGTAGTGTGCATAGATAAATTTCAGCATTAATTTGAGGGTTTTAACTCATTAATTAAAACATGTTTAAACCATTAATTAAACAACAACAACAACCTAGGATCAAACCCTAACCATAAACATTAAATTCCCAATTTCTAGGATATGTAAATTGGGGTTTTTGATTGAATAAAAAATCTAAAAATTATATAAATAATTTAACAACATCAAATACCCAAAATCAATTCCAAAACATAATCAAAATCATGTTTTAAATTAACAAAAACAATAGAATTAAATTAGGAAGGGAGAAAAGAGTTTCTTTTTTTTTTTTTTTGTTAAATAATACCAAAATCGAAAAACAAAAGGAGAGAGAGAAGGAGAGGGTGGCCGGCGGGCTGCTGGCTGCTGTTGCTGCCGCCGGTGGTGGTGGTGGCGCCGGTGGCTGCCAGCGTGAGGGGAGGAGAAGAGGGAGATAGACGCGGGGAAGGAGAGGAAAAAGTAAGGGGAAAGAGGAGAGAGAAAATAAAGTGAAAACCTTTGAAATTTTTGTGAAATCTGACAATTAATTATGATTTTAGAATGAAAAATCTTGAGGTCTTAAAGTATTTATACTCCCCTTTCAAAACAAAAACTCGTAATTACAAAACTGCCATTACTAAATCCTACTCCCCCTTAACTTCTTCCTTTGGGGCCAACTTGTTTGGCTTTTAAGTGTCCTCAATTCCCCAACAAGTTGATCCAACTATTAAAATAAAGATGACTAAATTCAAAACACTTTTAATGCCTCAATTAATGACTCATATTATTTTATGCACACTTACGTAATATTTAAATATTTAATTTCTTTTTAAAATGAAATGAATCATTCTAATAAATAAAATAAATAATTTATATAAATAAAAATATTATAAAAATATGGAGTATTACACTCATAGTCAACAATATTCAAATCAACATCAGCATAGTCTTCTTCTTCTTCTTCTTCCGGCCACCACATAGTCAGCATCATTAGAATCTGATCCACTAATCATTCCGTCAAAGCTATAATCTTCTCCTTCCTCAACATCCTCAACAACCACATCTTTCATTTTCTTTTTATTGTTAGTCTGTTTGCTAGATGAAGCAGCTGGAGCATTCCTATTCCTCATTATTTTTTTTACACTAGACTGTAAATGGTACAACGCAAAATGATTCAACATATACATTCACTTATACAAAACAAAACTCATGATCCATGAAATATATAATCTTAATAAAAAATTCCTCTTAAACATTTTGTAACATACCCCCCAATTACTTCTGCAGCCTACTGAAGAGTCATTGAACTACTCGGACACAATGACTAACTACATTACAACCATACAAAAAAAAAAAAAAAAAAAAAAAAAAAAAAAAAAAAAACAAATCTTTAATTTAACACACACTCCAGACCAGTTTAAACACAAATCCAGCCACATGATTTCCCAATTCATTGGACACAACACAAAACCACATACAAGTTCATATTTAACATGTTCATATTTACCCAATTATCAAAATCTCAGGCGTAGCACATACATAAGATGGTATCATAACAATACCAACAAGACATAAGATGGTATCAGCTAAATACCATTTTCTTACCTGCTTCATATCAAAATTCCAGTCCTCCACCAAACCACACCAATTTCATAAAACAGCATCAATAACATTCCCACTAGTTCTACACCATACAAATTATTAGATAATTAGGACACCCCTATAAACCCCCACTTCACATGGCAGTTACTAAAGAGAATTAAACCTTTACAGTTCCAAGAACGCATAATTCTCCAATCTCAACATAACAAATCCTACTCAAACCTAAATAAACAAAACAACATTGAAATTTGACAAATAATAGTCAGCGAAATTTGACAAAATCACTCAATTAGAACCCAAAAAAGACGGAATTTGGAACCTTGACCGAAATTCAACAAATAAATTGCAAGATTATCGACATTCACTGATACTAAAAACTTATGGAACACAATTTACTTCAAAAATATAAACACAACATGAAACAAGAAACACTGAAACTTACTTCAGATGAAATACGTTACTCCGGGAACTTCCTACAACGACTTCCTTGCAACGACAGGAACTTGGTCAGCAAATTCGTGCTCCAATACCCTTGCCTGAACTTGGTCGCAATTTTTAGGGTTCCAATTTGCTCTCCTCTCTCACTAAAAACTTTTGGGAATATGAAAGTTTTGGGAAAATGAAATTGCTTTCTCTCTCCTAAAATCGCCTCAAATCCCCTTTTCATTTTGAATGGGCTATGTTAAACGTCACCCTCATTTTACATACTAACGCCCGCATTTTAACTTAAAAGGACCATTTTGCCCCTTTTCCTCCTCACTCTCATCCATAGGAATCACCTCTGACTTCTCCATTAAAGTTGTCTTATGAGCATTCATCCATAGAACACACAATCATTCTAATACATTATACACATGTAACAATAAAAAATGACATTATGACCTTTCATCCATTGAATATATATATATATATATATATATTATATATATATATATATATATATATATATATATATATATATATATATATATATATATATATATATATATATATATATATATATATATATAAATATAAATAATAAAATAAAAAATTAATATTAAAATTAATTGCTTAACAATTACAATACAGAAATTTGGACCTCTAAATTGGAAATCCTTAATTAACAACAAAATTAAGAGTTTTAAGTTTAAGGAATTGGTAGTAGAAAAGCTAAGTGGGGTGTGATGGAGTTTCTGTTGGTGGCTGAGAAACGGCCGAATATATTGTAACCCGCAGTTCCGCAAGGTGAAAACGCCTAGATGTTTCATTGCTACCTAAAAGTTACGAAATTTTCAGGCGGTTTGTTAGAAACGCCTAGATATTTCGTAACCTGTAGGTGGGAACGAAAATTCTAGGCTTTTCCACCTACAGGTTACGAGAATTTTGGGCGTTTTGTTTTTTTTTTTTTTAAAAAAAAAGTAAATAAATTCAGAAGCCACTTATTGTGGTGGTGGGCCTTGTGGATGTTGGTGTTAGTGGTGGTGGTTGGCGAGGAGGTAGTAATGACAGTGCGGTTAATGGTGGTGCTTCAATGGTGGAGTCCATGTGGAGAAAGCTCATAATGTCAGAAGCTGCATCAATGAGGGAAAAAAGCTCATAAACCCACTTTATTGGAGAATGCTTTAATGGAGGAGAACACTCATAAGCAAGCTCAGAACCCCACTTTAATGGAGAATGCTTCAATGGAGGATAACGCTCATAAGCCATTAGAAAGAACAGTCCAAAATTTTGGGGAGAGTAAAATTGTTAAGTTGAGGTAAAATTAATTATTTTTATAACTAGGATAAATACGTAATTTTAGTTTATTTTGCGGGCTTTAATTGGAGATTTGAGGACGACGTTTAGCGTTCCACTTTTGAATTTGGAAATGGTAGCTGACCATGTGGGGCCCAAGCTTTTTCAGCTGTTCTCGTTTTCTTTTTAATTAAATCAAGCAAATTCCTTTTTTGCCCCTCAGTTGGGTCCTTGTGGACTCAACCTAGTAGAGGATGAGAAATCCTCGTACAAGAACAACCTTGAGTATTCTAAAGACATATATACCCTCTAGAATACTTTACATAGGAACCTCCTATATATTTCCGTGAACCTAATTGCTTTTAGAACCGTACCTTTCATTACCAA